AGGATCTGATGCCCTCTGCTGACCTCCATGGGATCCTGTGTGCATGTGGTATATACACATACATACACAGGCAGGTATACCCACATGTGTACATAAAATAAATAAATGGATCTTCAAAAAGTTAGAAAGATGGACCAACATATAAAGCTATAGACATTATCATAGAATGGTTAATAACCCATGTTTCGAAGTGATATGGCTCCCATTTCAATGCTGAACTCTGCCACAGAAAATTGGTGGTGTTAGAAAATGGCTTGCATTCAAATATCTCCTACGTAAAGTAGGACTAGTTACTGAGGCACAAGATTACCCCAAAGAGTAACTATTGTGATTGATGCATAACAAATTATTCTAACTGGGTTGAAGATGATGCAGTGGAATAAACCTGATTAAAGGCATATCTGAATGCATTGGTCATCACACAAGTGGTTTATTTCTCTAGAAACTTGCTGAGTCACTTCAAATTATTTTAGACAATCACTTATAAACTCATATTAATCTTTTTAGACATTATTTTTTATATCTTTTAATTCTCTGCATTAAGAAAAGTTTGCTTCTCAACTGCCCAACCTAAATCAATATACATCAATTGGACTAGACTGTTAAATTTAACCTGACACCGTTCCTCTTTAAAGGAACCTTAGAGAATTTAAATTCGCTCCCCTTTTCCTTTCTATCCCTCAATTCCCTCCTTCCTTTCCCCATTTCCTCCCCTCCTCTCTCTCCTATTTCCTCCCTTTTTTTCTCCCATGGCATCCTTCCTCCCTCCTTCTCCCCTCCCCCTTTCTCAATCTTCATCTCTGTTCCTACACATGCACACACACACACACACACACACACACCACATTGCACAGATGCATGAATGCACTCACAGACACATGCATAATGCTCTTTCCTGGAGCCATTTATGGTCCAGAGCTGAGCTGCAATACCCCATTGTACCAACAGTGGTACAATGCCAGGGTTCGACATTGCTCTTTATGGTAAGATATTTCGCAAGGGAAGCGCTGAGAAAATGCTGGCATAACCCATTTTACAATAAATACAAGCTGACTGATGTTATGTGAGCTATGCCAGCGTAGCTCTTGCTACGTTCCACTAGAGAGGATCAACGTTACAAATGCTGACGGGGAGTGTCACATAGGACTCAGAGGACTGATTCTTCTCCAAGTAGCCCACAGTGCGGTGTGTCCCCTCTTGGTTATTGTGATAATCAACTGCCTACCAGCTTCGATCTGGGGATTTTAGCAGCCAGAAGATTCAGCTGTAGGGAATAATTATTTGATAGTTTAACACACTATGTAAGACAGACAGCACCTCCTGAATAGGTAGTGTGTGATCTGCAAAATAGATTTGTCTTCCCGTGTGTCAAAGCAAAATACTTAGAAATGACACAAAGGGCCTTGGTTAAATAGAGATATTAGTCCAAATAAATAACAGACATGTTTAAAAATCCCACTGAGTAATGTCAACCGAGGACAGAACTGGTTTGACCAAGTTCAACAAACACACATGGTGAGATGCTAAAAGAAAGAACTTGGGAGTCAGTTTTCTCTTATCCAAAAGAACCAACGTGTTAGATATGCCAAATCACTTAAGACTCAACTTCCCTTCTGAGTGGTGGAAATGGCTGTCCTTACCTCATGAGGTTATTCAGAAATCAAATCTTATATCACCCTCAATGACTAGAACAGTAGACATGGCCCATACGGCGCTGTACGCTGCTCTGTTATCAACACTGAAGCCACCTCTACTTATGACCCACCTGACTCTATGTGCAAAATGACAGCCTCCCACGGAGAGCAGGGGAAGTTCGAAGCCTGAGGAGTCTTTGCTAGACACCTAGGGCAGGATAGATCAAATGCTTCCAGGGACAGCTAGCTATTGGCCAACCATACACAGAGTTCAGCGAATAAATAGCGAGTTCCCTGCTTCTTGAATGAGACAACTCTGGGATTTATTTCATCCACAATGTATCCCAAAGGTCTCCTATGGTTTTAACTCCATTCATCTGTTGTGGTAATCTGCTCTTAAATGTACTCTGTATTGACTTCTACCATTTTTCTGTCTCACTTTCCTAATTCATAACCCAAGCTTCCTGGGATTACCTCCAAAATAAACCACGGGCACGCCAATCCTTGTTCCAGAACTGAATCCAGCCTAAATACCCTATCTCACAAAGTGAACAGGGCTCTTAATTGGGTTTACGATAAAGTTCAGCTCACTAAGGGGACCATCTGTTCTGCCTCCCTCTGCCCTCTCACTCCTGTGCATAACCATTGCCTGTCACTTGCATCATCTGCTTTGGCCCAAGCTCTAAGCCAAAGCTCTCATCTCTAGCCAATCACTGTGCTTCCTGGGAGCTACGACCTCACTTGATGCCCACTTATTGCCAATATTGTCACCCCAAAATGCAGTTCTGGTAGTTCTGGTCCCTCGTTTGTTTTTGTATTTGAAGCTTTTGATGGTTCCCATGTCCTCTGTTATAATAATAATAATAATAATAATAATAATAAAATAATAACAATAATATCATAATTCAGAGACTATCCCCCAAATGTTGCTTTCTTAGGCTTCCTCTGCAGAGACTGCAGCTCACAGAACCAACGAGCAGTCTCTAAAGATCCCCTTCACCTGTTCCCTTTGTATGTGCCTCAGTGGGCTTGGAACCTTCTTGGACTACAGAACTAGCTCACCTGGCCCCTTCTTCCTGAGAATTCCTACAACCCCGTAAGATGAGTTGATAGTTCCATCCTCTGGAATTCCACAGAGGCATCTTCTTACATTGGCTCAGTCGTTCATCAAACCTGTTATAGTTACAAACTGACAGAGACTTTAACAGTGAAGAATCCAGCCTGGGAGTTGGTGAACTTTGCACAAGAAAGTGATAGTCTGGGTGATTCTTGATTAGGAATTAACCCTAATAAAGGTAGTGGGGCTGAGTATCCAAAGTCAAGGGCACAGCAGATGCAGAGTCCTGAGTTAATCTGGAGGATGTAATTACTTTTTCCAGGTGATCCAAAGCTTTAAAACAGAGGCACAGGAGTAATAGGAGGAGGAGAGTCTGACTGTCTTGGGGTCATTTTGCCACACTCCTGACATCATTGTGTCCTGACAGCCTCACTTACTGGGACCGAGATCTTCACATCTCTGAGATAAACCACCACCGCCCCTCACACAATGGAGAATACAAATGGAGCACATCCATTTCGTGGATGCGTTGGGTAGTCTTATATCAGCGTGACACAAGCTAGAGATATCTGAAAATAGAAAGCCTCAATTGAGAGAACGCCTTCAGAAGATCCGGCTCTAAGCCATTTTCTGAATTACTGATTGATGGGGGGAAGTTCCAGCCCACTGTGGGTGGTTCTGGGCTGGGCTGGGCTGGTGGTCCTGGGTTCTATAAGAAAGCAAGCTAAGCAAGCCATGAAGTACAAGGCAGTAACAGTCCTTTGTGACCTCTGCATCAGCTCCTGCCTCCAGGTTCCTGTCCTGACTTTACTCAGGTTGCCTTGGTCATGGTGTTTCATCGCAGCAATAGTGACCCCAACTCAGACATCGGATATTGGTATTGGGGCTCAAGAAGGATAAATGTCACCCGAGAGCTCAAGGATAGGAGTGCCTAAACTGAAACATGTACCCGCTGAGAAATTGGATCACTTAGACTGCATAAGGCAACTCCTCTCTCATCTTTTAAGACAGCACAAATGACCTTTTTTAAGAATCAGAATTTATTATGTGATAGATATGATTGGATTGTGTCTGTAGGTTTGATTTTGTGTGTGGGGGATTGTTTGTTTGTTTGTTTGTTTGTTGATATAGAGTCTCACTGTGTAGCCCTGGCCACCCTGGAACTCATTGTATAAACCAGGCTACCCAAAAATTCACAAGAGATTCTCCTGTCTCTGCCTCCCAGGTGCTGGAATTCTGGAATTAAAGTCACTGCGCGCCCGCGCACATGTACACACACACACACACACACACTCACCGTGCCCAGCAATTTTAAATTCTTGTTGATGCTTTTTGAGACAGGGTTTCTCCCCTACCTTAGCTTCCTTAGTACAGATGTGTCACCAAACACTGCTGGGGAAAGTATAGGCTTCTCTGTAAGCTTGCAAAGTGAGGAAGGGAGGAAGGCAGGGGAGTAGGAGAGAGAAAGAAAGAGAGAGAGAGAGAGAGAGAGAGAGAGAGAGAGAGAGAGAGAGAGAGAGAGAGAGAGAGAGAGAGAGAGAGTTGGCCAGGAGTTACTTGGTCTTCTGGAGGTCCCAGCAGGAAACAGACTTGTTCTGGAAGCCTCTTTGCTAGAAAAAAAAACATGGGTCCTGGGAACTAGCTGTCATAAGGAAGCCACAGAAGTCCAGAAAGAGCATCCCTGGTGACAAGGGGGGTCCAGAGGGAAAGAACTGGTCCTAGCTCTTTGGAGCCTTGGTTGGGATGGATCTTTAACTTCCCGCACCTCCCTGATGGTCCACTCAGAACCAGCAGATGGGAAACAGCCCAATTTCCCAGCTATCCCTCCCACTCCTGCCTGCCCGTGGGAGAAGAGGCAACCTTGTCTCTCGCAGCAGCATCCTCCAGGCCCAGACATTCGTCTCTGTCCATTTCAAGGCGCCACAGTCTGTGCCGTATATACCCAAGTATTTGGCCCACACGAGGGGTTGGAGTATCCAGCCGGCCTCTCCTGCTGTGTTTGTATTCAAGAGTCTTGGGGAAGTCTGTTATTAAGGTTAAGACAAATAGTCTGATTTAGGACCAGTACAAAAAGTGGACTTGAGATTTGGTTTGGAGTAAGTAGAAAGAAATGTGAGGGAGGGGGTGGGGCGCTAGGGCGCAGCTCCTCTGAGGATTACGGCGGAGGCGGTGGACCGCGGCTCCGCTCACAAGAGGTTGCAGCCATTGCACTGAAGAGCATCCCACATTCAACAGGAGGAACCCGCGGGAGAGCAGCCCCGGCCCCTTTTACAACCGTAGCCTGTGCGCCCCGCAGCCCCTCGCGCGCCATGGCTAAGGAAGGCGTAGAGAAAGCGGAGGAGACTGAACAGATGATCGAGAAGGAGACCAGCAAGGAGCCTGCTGAGGGCGGCGACGGCTCCCACCGCCTCGGGGATGCCCAGGAGATGCGCGCTGTGGTGCTGGCCGGCTTCGGAGGGCTCAACAAGCTGAGGCTCTCTAGAAAGGCCATGCCGGAGCCACAGGACGGCGAGCTCAAGATCCGCGTCAAAGCCTGGTCCAGTATCCACGACTTTTTGGTTTTTCTCTCTTTACGCGCTGGGCGCACCGGCAGTGGGTGGGAGAGCCTAGATTGGAGATGCTACCCAGGTACCCAGCACCCACAGTCAGCGAGCACCCTCTCTGCATTCACACTTGGCTCTCGGAACCTCCTGGGTAGCCCAAGCCATGGGAGCCTGGGGAGGATGCTCAGAGATGGTCCTTCTCCCCACACCAGATGTAGGGTGACAGGAAGGATAGTGGCGCCTAGGACTTGAGGTCTGGAAAATTGCCTTGTGCCCCTCTTGTAGGACAACTCAGCTGCTAACATTGGGAGGGACGTAAGGGTGGGACTTAGCGTGGTTTAAAAAATAGCAATCGCCGTGTAATCGTAGTTCCCGGTGCTAGTTTTCTTTTTCTTTCTTTCTTTTTTCCTGGAGTTTTACATATACGATCCCGTTTAATACTTTCTGAGACCCAGTAAGTCAGGTGCCCAGCTTTAGAGGTGAGAAAACGGAGGAGGCTCGGTGGGGGGTGGGGGAAGAATAAATCATCTGCCAAGATCACTGAGCTGCCAGTAAATGGTCTGACTGCCGCTTGACACTTGATCTCCCTTTTCACCTTTGTGCGTCTAAATGGGGCTGAGGACAAGGTCCATTCCCTTGTACATCTCCTTCCCAGTACTTAGGTGAGGGAAGGAACTGAGAATGAAGAGGGTTAAATCCTCAGCCTCTACGCTGGGTGAAAGGTGAGGCCAGGGATGCAGCCCTCTCTCCCCCACTGCATCTTCTGCATTCCTCATCCTTAGGAGCTCCTGTGCTGGCCTCAGAAGGAGCCAACACTCCAAGAGATCCTCTATTCTCATTTCTCATGGGGAAACACGTCTGTGCCTAGACCAGCAGATTTCCCCTGTAGTGTGTGAGAACGCTTGTTTCTGCCTGGGGGCACTGCACTCCCTAAAGTCTAATGGGGTGCAGACTAACGGATCTGCTTGCTGGACCCAACATTCTATAGTAACTATGAATCTTAAAAGGGTTGTTGGCTGGATCTCCTAAGCCCTTGGTGTTTCTACTTCTTAGAAACAGCAGCATACTCAAACCTGCCTAGGACAGACTTTGGAAAGAAAGCCAGCACCTACAAACATGATCTGAAGGCAGAAAAATGCAAAGGGCTCCTTTTGGCCCCTGCACCACCTTGACAGCAGGTGGGTTTTATTAGCCAGATCGGGAGGCAGCTGGTGAGAGCAGCGAGCACTGATCCATGGTTAGTTCTTCATATATGAACTCGGTCCTTCGTGACATTAAACATTGTTCTGGTGAGCTGAGGATTTCAGGGTAAGAGAGGAAGCATTTAGGCAATCTGGGGATCCTGTACTGTTCTTTTCATTAACTCTCAGGAAGCCAGGGTGACTGATCCCAGCAGGCAGAGGTTTTACCCACCCCATTCGCCAATAAATCGCCAGCATCTAGCACAGTTGGCACACAGCGTATTCTAAGTAAGTGGTGACAGGTGAATGGATTGAGGGGGGTAGTTCGGAGGGGGGATTATGGGACGTCATTTTTCTTTATTTGTTGATAGAAGACCATCGACCTAGAATAATTACCGTGTATGAGTAACTTCCCATCCTTAACCACCTCAACAAAAATATTATGCACCTATGTATACACACTTATACACGAGTGGTGTGTGTGTGTGTGTGTGTGTGTGTGTGTGTGTGTGAGAGAGAGAGAGAGAGAGAGAGAGAGAGAGAGAGAGAGAGAGAGACTTAATGAATTTTCATTCACACTGAGGATGGAGGTCTAGGACTCTTGAGGACATATTCCAAGAATAACTGTTAGGGCCACAGTTTCAAAAACAATGAGCTTCATATGTAGTACAAATCAGACTGTATTCTTCAGCTTTCTCATATTTTGTAGCCTTGTACTAACTGCCAGAAAATGCCTATAGGGGCAAGGGATGTTTTGAAATAATTTCTCAAGATAAAAGTGAGGAGTTGAGGAGGTGAGTTTTCAAAGCCTGGCATACAAATGTGTTCTTTAATGGAGCCTAAAAATATGTACACACACACACACACACACACCTCTACAGAATGGAGACTAAAAATATGTACACACACACACACCCCTCTACAGAAACTGTACTAGGTCTGTACAGTAGTGAGCTCAAATTGAGTTTTTCTTTTAGCAAGTAAGAAGCAGAATTAATCACTTTGCAAGGGAGCAGCATTGGAATGGCTTGTGGAGACAGCCCACTGGGCCCGTCATCCTCCACTGGGCTGGGATTGGCCGGTCAAAGAGTCCCATTGATTATAAGTTTCTGCCTTGAGAGGCAACATGACTCATTCCATGTTTTTTTATGAATCAACTGGGGCCTTGTGGCTGAAGGTCCTCCTTTTATCTGCTCTTCGTTTTTAATGGAAACCTTTTATCATCAAATAAGATGTCCTTTTTGCTTGGAAACAAAGCACAGCACATCCGAACTACTATTAGACTTAGGGCAAGAGTTCAAGTTAGTGTCTGTAATTATAAAAGTGAACAAGAAGAAGCAAGAAAAAAGAGGATATTCTATCTCATTGACCCTCTAATTTGTGGATTGATTGAGCAGGTATTTTTCTTACAGAACAAATTGAGTATTGGGGACATTGGGTGACTTGTCAAATATATCACATAACCAGTAGTTAGGATGTGGATTTTTCATGTCCTCAGGGCTTCTACTCTTTCCCTTCTATTCTGTGACCCTCAGAAACACCATGGATGTGACTTGCCTCTCTAGACTGTGACATGTGTGGTTGTGTCTACTGTTGCTTTAATACATATGAACCCATTGTGCTTATGCGTAGCTAAAGAATAACCACTTTGGTTATTCTCAGAGTAATATGGTTTCTATGGAAATTATATATGTGTTCAAGTGCAGCTCAGAAAGAGCCATTGCTTGCTTGATTCTGTAGGGTTGGAAAGATAGAAGATTCTATCCTCTAAAGAAAATGTCAGCTGATGGGAAACCCACTTCACAAATTCATTGAATGGGCTATGTAACAGTAGGTTTAAGGGCCTAAGTAGCAAATGAGTGTGTGTGTATGTGTGTGTGTGTCCTTTGAAAAAAGGTGGACCTAGACATATGTATGAGCCACAATTCTTGCTTCTTTGTGACCTTGGTGGCCTTGCCTTACTCTTAAGCTTCCTGGGCTCACCTGTGAAACACAGTGTGGTGATGATTGTAGTGGTATTAAGAGGACAAACTTGAGTTCTAACTTGTCCTCTTCCTTGCTAACTGGATACCATGGGCCAGGCTCCTTGACCCAGAGACTGGTACAGGGAGCCTTTGGCAAGCAGTTTACTAAAGAAAGACTTTTCAGGGAAGAAGAGAGCAATGCAAATAGGCCAGGGAGAGAGAGAGAGAGAGAGAGAGAGAGAGAGAGAGAGAGAGAGAGAGCGCTAAACAAGGGTATAGTGTCAGCTGGATCTCTCTGCAGAGTCAGCTCCTCACGAGAGCAAGAAACAGTGCAAGCCTTTAGGTGAATGGCTAGGCTGCTAAAGGGAACATGGGCTTTCATAAGCAAGGGTAGGTTTTCATATAACAGGGCACAGTTTACTAGGGAATTATAAGTAACCAACATCGCCAGAAGGAATCTGGATGAAGTACAATCTCACTCTTTGGTTGTCAGGGCTGATTGGCTACCCTAGACCTCAGTGGACTGGTCTGCAAAATGGGAATAATGGCGATGCCTTCTTTATTAGCACTGTACTGGAGTTGAAATGACCTAAGACACACAAGACCTTTATGTGCAACTAATGGTTAATAAATGACCTACTATCTAAATGATTATTTTTCGTTGCCATCACTACCTTATAGACCCCTGTCATTCAAGCTCGAGTGGTTTTGAAAGAGAAATGATCCATAATTACACCAGGATAGCAGGGGCAAATTGGAAGGATCCTAGACAAGCCAGGGAGTATGGTACTCCTACCTGATAAGGGTCTGATGACCTGTGACCTTGTTGCCATTGTGTATTTTGAACACGAGCTGGTAAGGTTTGAAGCTGGTTGAAGGTTTCCAGGTTGGGCTGTAGGAATGTATTTAAGTGGCCATTAACAAACCTTGTCTAGTTTGTGGCTCAAATTGGCTTGTGGTGGAAAGTCACTAATGGATAGGGGACATTTATTTTCCCAGAGTGATTTACAGCCAGAGGCCATATGAAACTGCTGGAAGGAGACCAATTGGATGAAAAATGGCTCAGGCTACTCAGGGCCCCATTGGCTGATCTAAAAATGGGCTGAGGGCAGGCCACATCAGAAGCAAGCCAGCAGATAGGTAGAATTCTAATATGTCATGAGGGTGTGTAGGAGACAGGGAAAGAATGTCCACTTGCTGAAAAGTTGTTAGGAGCTAGAAATTGAGTGCTTCTATAGCTCCACAAGGTCAATGTCACTAACTCTGTTGTAAGAAAGACTTGTCAGGACTTCAGACTTCCAAGTGGAAGAAAGATACAAAACAACAATATCAACAACAAAAACCAACCAAACAAACAAACAAAAACCCAAGTCCATATTCTTCCTGGACTCCTTTCATTTAGGAGACAGAGATTAGGAGACCATAATGCTAAATAAAGATAAAGAAAATAAGGAGCAGGCACAAAGATGCAGGTAGATCCAGTGATGGGTAGTGCAGAGAAAACTCCATGGATGATCAG